ACGCTAAAACAAAAGAAAACAATTTTTATCTTAATACATCAACTGATGGTCCATGTTTGATTTGTAGATATTTTATCTATAGTCTGATTAATAGACAGTTGCTGTAAGCAAAGCAAAAATGTACTTATGTCATATCTGCAAAGTAATACAAATAAGCAGAAAACATTTCTAATACCTTGAAAATTTGTGAAGCCTAAATATAGTTAAGGGGAGAAGGTTTAGAAGAAGCCTTTCTAAAGACAGTGCCAAGATAACAATGAATCCTTAAGAATAGGTTGCTTTTCCCCCCCTGAAGAATACATCAAGTTGTTTTATATTGACACACTATATATTTCAACAGCATTAAGCGGTTTTCCTATTTCTTACCCTGCCTGTAGTCCAAGGACCTGCTTTCAATTCATTCTCCTTTGATTTTGTGGGTGGAGGAGCAACCCAAGGCTGTGGTGTAAGTACTGGAAGATCAGGTGTAGAATCTGCAACTTTGTTTTCATCAAACACAGAAAAAGTGGGACGAACTGATGCTTGCTGAGATGGTGGGTATTGTAATCTCTGTCCTTGGCTTGGGACTGCAACACATCATTGCATAATTAAGTATCAATGTTTCATAAAAAATTGGCAAATGATAATAGCATAATAACAACTTACCTTTTACAGCATTTCCTACACGGCTAATTGGGGCTTTTATGATTTTCTTTCCTCTCCCCTTCAGTTCTGCCAGTGTGGTTCTCTGTGGTTCAGAAACAGTACTGTCCAACTGCTCCTCATCACAATCATTTTCTAGCTCTTCCAAAACCTGTCGAGACACACGGGCTTGGAACTCCCTACAAACAGAAATAGCAAGACTTCAGCTATCATTCCTGCCTTTTTGCTTCCTAATGAAGCAGAGTGTCTGAATCCAAAATAATCCATTAAGGAGATTTTTTTTTTTTTTTTTTTTTTTTTTTTGCAACGAAGTACCTCCACTAAATTCTTCCCAGTGCAGCCATGTAATTATCATTCCTATCCAAAGTCCGGTAGCATTTTAGTGAACTAAATTATTAAAATGCATAAACTTTGTGAGCTGCAGCTCACTGCATCAGGGGCATACAATGGCTACTGTGTGATTAAATTGGGTCGAAGTTTTGGAGGGGAGGAAGAGAGGTTGATTATGCAGTTGCAGGTTACACGTAAAACAGATTATAAATACTTTACAAATTAACTACTGCAATGGGCTAAGAAAAATTGTTTTCAATTAATTTTCTGTAAAGTCAAGCAATCATCTCTCAATTTTCATCAATTACCTGTGGTGGGACAATAATTTATCCAAAGGCTCTGCTTTACAAAGGATCCCTTCCTGGAATATCACATCAGCTTTCTTGTAATTCTCTCTTGTCTCCAGTTCTTCTGCCCAAGTAATGTAAAGTTGTGCTAGTGAAGTGCCTATCGCCTGGCTATGCAGGTAGCTATAAAGATCCAAAGGTTCACTGCAACAGTTCCCCTAAAAAATAGAGACAAGAAAAAAAATGTTCATATTATAAACTATTTTTCAAAGAGGAACTCAGAATTCAGTAACTTGAAACTCCATATAGCTCTACGTCAAGCCCTTATACCTGCAGATAAAATCGATATTACAATAATTCAGAAAACTATTCAGAAAGATGTTTTGTAATAGATGCAGACCAAAACATTTTTACTCTGAGAAGTGGTTTCAGGTGATAATGGGGCAGGAGCATGAAACAAAGCTAAGAGGTTTATTTGGCTATGGAACATGTAAAAAGAAAAGAAGGACTTGGAAAATCAGAGATCAGTGAGTTGATGGAAGATGCCTTGCTGGGACGTTGATGGCTGAGGTAAAGAACACTGGAGGGCACACAAGACATACAGAGGATGGAATTGGGAAGTGACATGTCACCACTTTGCTCTACTCAGGTCACACACCCTCTCCAATCTTGTTTTGGCTGAAACCCAGTACACCAAAATTCTGAGTTTTGATTCTATTGAATCATGCCTGATCTGAAATGGTTTGGCACAATTTTCTGAACACGAAGGTTTCATACTTAAAACAGATTTCTCTTTTGTACACATTCTCACTGAAGTGAAACAGAATCTCTGTCTTAATAAATAGCCAAAAATCAAGTTTTCCTTCTCTAAAATCTCTAAATTTGAGTTTTCTGGGCCCTAGATTTGTCTTTATTTTGGGGCTTGGATTCCATAATAGATGCATTACCATGCATTTCTGCATCTTGCTTGTGTTCTCTCAGTTTACAAGGATTGAAACAGATGAACAAATGAATTATTAAATAGTAGATACAGACATGGGGTCCATTTTAGTTGCCTTGAAATATTATCTAGCAAAGGTATTTCTGTTCTTTAGAAACACTCCTTACTACTCAGGCCAAGTAATCATTTTTTTCTTACTTCATTCTAATTACTTGTCTAACCATGTTATCTATTTTATGTAGTTCTAAACTAATATCATGACACTGAGAATGAAGTATGTGGTCAAGTTATTAGGGAATGTGGTTGATTACCTTTCCTTTTGTGCTTATTACATCTAATAGGGATGGAATTTCTGACTACACCCAGGACTTATAAATTTATTGTCTATTTTAGTCTTAAAAGTTTAACATTGTAATCCACTTTAATACATCTCCTCTCTGGCTAAACTCCTTCAGTAGATTGTTAACTAATTTCAGATATGTTTGAATAAAACTCATGTAGCTAAATCAATTCTAGTCAGGCATCAGGCTTATTTTGGGACAAAACAATATTGTGTTGGTGATCTACTGAGAAATGGTCAGGGAAAGCACTGATCCAATGGTCTGTGGTCTTTTGATTAAAAAGAAAATCTGTTAAGGTATGTATACATATGCTCAGTTTAGATTTAGTCTGGTCTTCTAAAACGTTTGTTGTAATGCTGTGATTTTGTTAAGGGGAGAAGATTAAGCATGATTTGGTAAACTATTCAGACTTCCAACACATTACAAATTAGTGTAGTACTGCTGCTCTATGAACACATAAATGGGGACAATTCCCATAAAGAATGTTTATGTGAAAATATTGCTGTTCACAGCACATGACATGGTATCGTATCTAAATAAAGTTTGCCAATGAACTGGGCACAAAATAATATAGTATTACTCACAAATTTAAGCCAAAGGCTAAGATAACGGGGATCTTGGTAATATCTCTGCTGTTCATTCAACGCTTGAATAGCTCTCTCCAAAACCGCAGAAAGATTGCCCTCTTTACCTCCTTGAGGAAAGGTCTGTTCTGTCCATTTGATGTACCTAGTGATATTGAAAATAATTATTAACACAAGGGAAAAAAGAATAACTAGATTTGAAAATTATGTTTTTTCATATTTCACTTACAAAAGTTAAGCATACCTGTCCCAGATGTCCAATGGATCATCCCCACAGTAAAAGCGAATTTCAGATTCAAATGCCCTGAAATTATAATCAAATGAATACCTTTTACATTATCTATTATTTTACATTACATATTATTTTAATTGTTGATTTTTCTAATAATGCTGTGTTGGTTTATTGTAACCTGCTGTCTAGATATAGTAAATAGATGTCTAAAGAGCTAGAAAAATTATTTTCAAATTAAAATAGCATGCAAATTTCATATTTTCAGGGAACAGGGTGTATATTTGACATGCTATAAACTGGAAAATTCCTACCAAGAATACAGTGATGGTAAATGAAAAGTATAGTTGTACATGCTTAAAAATTATTTTGAAATTACACCCAATTTAAACTTTCAACACAGAGAAAACAAACCTACTAGGCACCATATATATGTCCAGAATTGTTTAACCATGAAATATATATTCACAGCAGGAACCGTATTAAACACCCAGCTATTCTATTTGTATGTAAAATAAAACCATGTCTTATTTTAAAGCAAGAATTGTAAATGTGATGCATACAGTAATGAGATAAATGACTGTCGCACTCACCTCTTTTGCTGCTGAATAACTGTGTGAGTAGAAACATCTTGCTGAGCCAAAACTCCTTGCAAAGTAGTCATTATTCGCCCCTGCCTCAGAGGCTGCACATTTTCTTTGCTCAATTCCCATTCATTTCCATCGGAAGCCATGGTAATTTGTATTGGCCTATTATTCAATAATACACAGACAGATCCCAAAGGTAAGTGCTGAAAGACGGGCAATCATAACATGTGTAAAAACAAAAGGGGGAGAGTGAAAGATAACCTCTTCAGGGTTTTATAACTATCATTACACCAGAAATCCTGACATCGCTTTTACAAATGACTCCTCTTTGGGAGAAAACTCCATTTCTTAAAAAAATAAAACAACTTTACATAAGTTGTATGTATGTATGTATGCATGTTGTAACTTTACACAAGGATTAAAAGAGCCTGGTATAATGGTCTATCTTAATGGTTTTAGCTTCTCCGGCTTCACGTGTTCCTGTGAACTATTGCTGCAATTAATTCAGTATTTCTTTTCAAGAAGTTAACTTCGTAATTAAAGTTGCGCAAATGCTGCACGGAGCGGAGAGAGATCATTTTAATTCTCTCCCCCCCGCCCCCCCCCGCGGAAACCCTACCATTATAACACACAGGCAAACACGCGCAACTCTCCTTCACCTGTTTTGGCCCAACACAACCCAGGACAGAGCCTCCAAACGTTCATCCGCCACAGCCGGAACGCATTGACCAAATTCCCCAAGCCTGCTCGGTCCCTTCCTCCACCGTCGGTGTTCAAATATTAACCGCCACCAACCGCAGCAACTCCTTCGGTCTCATTGGCTCCTTCCTTATCGTCTCTGATTGGACAGGACATGAAAACAGACAGGCTTCCGCCGGCTGGCGTAGAACGCGGTGGACTTAACTCTCCGTGGGCGGGGCGGCGCTTTCTTAAGGCTGGGACCGCTGTAATTAATTCACGTCCCGCTAGGCGGCGATAAGACTATGATTGAATAAATAAGAGATTTTAGTTGTAGACTCACTTTGTCCCAGATGGCCCAGGAATCGCAGATTTCGGCCATACAAGTAAACGGCTCTCCTATATTTATCCTCCCTTGTCTAAATTGTGGGGTTCCGTCAGTTTGCTAGGAGGAGGTAAATTGATAGACGCTGTTACTACACTATGGCTCAGTCAGACCCTGCAACACATGATCGCACGGCTTTAATCCAATGGTGAAATCCAATTTTTTTTACTAACGGTTTTGTGGGCGTGGTGTGGCTTGGTGGGCGTGGCAGGGGAAAGATACTGCAAAATCTCCATTCCCACCCCACTCCAGGGGAAGGATACTGCAAAATCCCCATTCCCTCCACTCCTGGGGGAAGGATATTGCAAAATCTCCATTCCCACCCCACTCTGGGACCAGCCAGAGGTAGTATTTGCCGGTTCTCCGAACTACTCAAAATTTCGGCTACCGATTCTCCAGAGCCTGTCAAAACCTGCTGGATTTCACCCCTGCTTTAATCAATAAAAAATATCTTCAAAAATTAAATTCAGACACATGCAGGCCTCCTCTAAAGCCCTAACCCTTCTGACATATTGCAAAAGTTGATTATTTAAAATGGAAAAATAGCAATTTCTTCAAAAAAAATGTATCTGGACTTCACAGTTTGCTCTAGTTACATAAGTAGTTTGTAAAATTCAAACTCTTATTATTAATTATTACTATTATTAAATCCTTATTGTCAGTTCACAATATATGTACAATGAGATTGGTTGAGCTCCCTCAGTGCCCCTCCCAACACAATACATCTCAGTGAAGACAGAAAAAAACCTAACCCAATAAATCATTAACAAAACACCCAGTCCTATTGCACCAGTGGGAACATGTTACCTGTTGCACCGGCCCCGCAAGTCCATTGTACTACATAGTTATTATGTTATTTCGCATTCAGGAATCTGACAGCCCATGGATAAAAACTGTTCTTCAGCTGTTTGTGTAGCTGGCTCTGCTGGCTATGTTCTCTGTTTAGGAATGAATCTCGGATGATTCTATGCAGGGGTGAAATCCAAATTTTTTTACTATTGGTTCTGTGGGCATGGCTTGGTGGGCATTGTGTGGCTTGGGGGCATGGCAGGGGAAGAATACTGCAAAATCTCCATTCCCACCGCATTCCAGGGGAAGGATACTGCAAAATCCCCATTCCCTCCCCACTCCTGGGGGAAGGATTGCAAAATCTCCATTCCCATCCCACTCTGGGGCCAGCCAGAGGTGGTATTTGCCGGTTCTCTGAATTACTCAAAATTTCCGCTACTGGTTCTCCAGAACCTGTCAGAACCTGCTAGATTTCACCCCTGATTCTATGCCTATTTTTTAAAAAAAAATTGCAAAGGAGAATATTAATCATTTGCAAAAACTTTGGAATTAAAAGTTATATATTGAAGAAAGTTAACACTCATCCCTCTTAGAAGAATGAAATATTCTAGGAAATATTAAAAAGGCAGAATATTATAGTTCCCTAGATGAGGAAAGGAGAAACATGTTTCTAAAGACAAATCAGCTCCCTGCAGCGCCCTGTCCCCCACTTCAGTTCCAGGGTGATGGGATTAAGACATGGCCCTCAGGACATGATAGGATTAGCCCTCTACACATCTAAGAGCAGGGTTCACTGCACTGCGAAATCACCTAAGGACATAAGATCAGCCCACAGTTTAACCACACTTATCTCAGACAAACTCCTAGGATTGGCACATGACCCCTACAGCAACCAATGGGATACCTGCCCTTACACAGGAACAGGAAGCTCCAAGGTGGGGCCCATGAGAGGGTATAAATATCTCGCTCTATCTCCCTCCCCCCCCCCTCCCCCTCCCCTGCCTTCCTCCCCCTTCCTCCCCTATGCTCAACTGCCCAGGAACTCAAACCATGTGGTCCTGTTCACCATTACACCATCTTTCCCAGTGGTGGGTTGCCCCCAGTTCGGATCAGTTCTATAGAACCGGTAGTAAAACTGGCTGGAGGCTCCACCCACTGACCCGGACATCATCAGAAGCGAACTGCACATGCGCAGAAGAGTGTGTGCAAGCAAAGCCCGCGCATGCGCAGGCACGATGCAGACTGGTAGTAAAGGTAAGTAGAACCCACCCCTGATCTTTCAGCCTCCATGTTTCCAGTGACTTCCTCCCCACTTGAAACTGAACTCAGATGGACATTTCTTCCAACAATATGAACAAATGAATAAGGTCCTTAATATGTTTATGAAATTAAGATGAAACTCTTTCTTTTACAAGAATGGGAAAATTGCTTGAAATGAAAAGTAAGATATTATTTTAATAAATATCTTGCTTCTGACCCTCAACCTTTGCAGGCAATCCAGAAGGATACTGAAAGCCGCTAAGAGATACAGATACAATTTGATTGAACAAAACATGACTTTGTATGTTGTGCAATGCGTCCATAGAGACGTAATACTGAAAAGAAATGTATATTAATATCTCATCAGTAACATCACCAGTGTACTGATTGTACATTAATTAAATGCTTAAGAAATGCTGAAGCTGGTGGGTCAGGTAATGGAGCAAACATCTTTATTCTATTTTCTTTTATATTTTATAATTTGGCCAGTAGGGGCTGCTGTTAAGATATGAAACTTTTTTAAAACCAGCTCTGTTCTGCAACTGAGGTACTGCAAGATCTTTTCTTGCTAAATAGTTGAATCCTGGTTTTAAAACTACAATGCTTGTGTTACTTGGTATTTCTTACTGATATACTTATATACTTTCATGAACATGTACCCTTACCACCGTAGCTGATGTAAGTCGTATCAGAATGCAAATTTTTAAACTGAAATGCAATCATAGTAGCTTTTTATACATTGACCAAGAATGATTACCTCTCCATTTTATCTTTTTAACCATGGCTCCTGTTAAGTGATACATCTCTGGGAAGCTTCCTCATTCTGCAAATAGTTACTGTTACCTCTGTTACTGTACATTTGTTTAATTAATTGCTCATTTTGTTTCCAGACTGTAGTATTATCCCAATGTGCTTAAGGTATGCATGAGTGCTTAAAAGGTGACAAGACTCTGAAGGATGATTCTGTCAGTTTAATTTATTTATATGACTTAGGTACATGATCCCCTATTAATTGCAGCTATTGCTATCTAAGTGTGACTTAATGTAATGTTGTTTCCAGGCCTCTTTAACTGTGCCAATACTAGACCATTACTGTAATTTAGATCTTAGCCTGTATCATCCTTCAAAAATAAAATAGTAACATGAAGTCTTAAAAGATGAATATTTATCTTAGACACAAACAAACTGAAGTCTGGTCTTTCAGTTAGCCTGAAAGTCGTCTGCAAGAAAACATTAAAAACTGTAGAATTTACAGTTAGTGAAGAACAAGATATATATGCCATCAAAACCTGAAACAAAAAAACAAATAAATAAAAACCCAATAAAGAAGAATTTGTTCATAGAGGATGTTTGGAATGACACACCCACAAGTACGCCAAACCCATGTACATTACAACATTAATAATATTCCTTGTCACTTGGGGGGGGGATTCTAATTTAACAGTAGCTAAGCAAGCATTTGGCTGATAAGATGATTGGGCAATCTGTGATACCTGAACTCCTTTTTGTAGTTCTGCAAAATAATAATAATAATTGATCTAATAATCCATTGCTGGAACTTGTCTTTTCTTGCTATCTCAGCTTCATCTCATATTAAAGAGAGTGAAGGGTGGGTAGGATTCCCCCCCCCCATTAGATGGTGATATTCTGTAGGAAGGAAAGGTAACACCCTGGTATTTAAGATGCTTTGTACCTAGGATAGCATGTATATTGACAGTGTTTACCCATTGCACTAAATCATGATTTGTTAATATAGTTTGCATAATAACAATTGGCTCAGTTCTCAACATGCTATTATAAAAGCCACATCTAAACAATGGTAAGTATGTTCATATAGCAATCAAAGCCATAAGCAAATAAACTATATTATGACATAAATGTGCGAATCTTCTCTATCAAAAGATTTCAAAGTATGTTCTAAGAAAGTAATCCTGTTTTTGAATATATGTTTATATCTTTGGTTTCTACTCCATATCACATTGAGTGTCAAGCTGAATAGTTTTATAAGTACCGTATTTTTCGGAGTATAAGACAGACCTACCTTTTTTGGGGAGGAAAACAAGAAAAAAAATCTGCCTCTACCTCTGCATCCCAGCAATTTGCCTCATTGCAGCAAACAGACTGCTTTAGTTTCATTTTTATTTTCAGCACAGCCTGATTAGCACAAGAAAAAAAAATCTGCCTCCCAGCAATTTGCCTCCTTGCTGCAAGCAGCGGAGGCCTGCGTGGCAATAGGCAGTGGCAATTCCTGCAGCCTGAAACAGCTGAGGGTCGGTAGACTGATCCAACCGACAATCAACTGCTTGTGCTAATCAGGCTGTGCTGAAGCTGAAACAGGCTGTTTGCTGCTTGCTGCAAGGAGGTAAATTGCTGGGAGGCAGAGACCAAAGGGTGGGGGGCAGCGGGTGGGCAGGGCTACATTCGATGTATAAGACGCACCCAAATTTTCACCCTCTTTTGGGGGGGGAAAGTGCGTCTTATATTCCGAAAAATATGTTAGTTAGTTTTTAGGTAAGTTATGTGCCATACAGATGAATGATCAACTGGTGATTATATGCACATATACTTACCATCTTGAATTGCTTTTAGTAATAAACAAGCAGCTCTTCTAAAAATGTACCTATAATCCTTTTGAACCTTTCTATCCATCTTACTAGTTATCTGTTCTCAACCATGCCAAGTATATTAATTTTTCTAGTCCAGTCTCTAACATCACAGACCCAGGGTATATTAATTTCTACTTGCTGATCATTACCTCAGTGCCAGAGTCAGCTTTTATTTGTTTGTAATCTGGTTGATTTTTCTTAATATCATTTCTAACCAATCTCTTGCTGGTCACATCTACCCGACCCACTAGAGTGGGGAGGCAAGGAATTTTGTGGGTCCCGTCCAGAGGTGGGTTTCAGCAGGTTCTGATCAGTTCTGGAGAACCGGTAGTGGGAATTTTGAGTAGTTTGGAGAACCGGTAAATACCACTGGTCCCATCCCCATCTATTCTCTGCCTCCCGAGTCCTAGTTGATCAGGAGGAAAAGGGGATTTTGCAGTAACCGTTCCCTGGAGTGGGGAGAGAATGAAGATTTTACAGTATCCTTCCCCTGGAGTGGGGTGGGAATGGAGATTTTACAGTATTCTTCCCTGCCATGCCTACCAAGCCACGCCCACAGAACCAGTAGTAAAAAAATTTGAAACCCACCACACTGGTCCCATCGCCTAAGGAGATATATCTGGTAGCATCCAGAAGAAGGGCCTTCCCTGTGGTGGCTTCTCTCTGGAACATCATCCCCCAGGAGATTAGACTGGCCCCCACTCTAACACTTTCGGAAGGCCCTGAAAATGTGGTTCTGCCGGCGGGCCTGGGGAACCCAGAGTGGGATGGAGCACATTAAGTGCATTATACTCTAGTATGAATGTGTGTTGTTGCCGGGGTGGGGGGTTATTATTTTATTATTTTTCTTTTTATTCTTTTTATTTCTTTTATATAGTGTTTTTTTATCCTTGTAAGCTGCCATGTGCGAGTAGCAATATCAATAGCATAGACTTATATACCACTTTACAGTGCTTTACAGCCCTCTCTAAGCGGTTTACAGAATCAGCATATTGCCCCCAACAATTTGGCTCCTCATTTTATCCACCTCGGAAGGATGGAAGGCTGAGTCAACCTTGAGCCTGGTGAGATTTGAACTGCCAAATTGCAGTCAGCTGGCAGTCAGCAGAAGTAGCCTACAATACTGTACTCTAACCACTGCACCACTGTGGCTCATAAAGTAGGCAGCAATATAAATTTTCTAAATAAAGAAATAAACCAGTTTTTATTTAGTAGAATATTTCAGTATTCTACTTTTCACAGCCATGGAATATCACTGGAAAGGCAGTACTTTAATCCTGATCTTTCTTATCATTGAAATATCTTCATTTCTCCAGCACATCGATTTTTAAAAGTAGCAAACAACGTCTACCATCTTAACTTGTTCACTGAAAGCTGTAAATTTGCTATATGATACTATATATATTTGGCTTCTTAATATTTAACATTAGTCCAGATTTTTTCACTTTCCATTTTTACTTTCATAATGAACTCTTCTAAATTATTTCATCTTCAAGTGACAAAGCAAAATCTCCAACTGTATGATTTATTCTGCTTTGATTCCTGATATCAACTCGTCCCTTGATATAAGCTCCAATTCAGTATATGTTTTCTTGGGAGTAACTTTTGTTGAACAAAATACCCATTATTTATTTCTGAATAAAAATTATAAGATTGTGCTCCAGAGTAGCAAGAACCCAAATTGCTCTAAGGTTTTGAAGGATTATCTTAAAACACAAACTTAAAAAAAACCCCTGGCAAAAGAAACTATTTTGGAAATAGATGGTGTTAAATAGGGAGATAATTGACTCTGACCTTCCATCCATCAACACTGGTGTCTATCAGGAGTACCTTTTCTATATGTTCTGGCTTCCCAAGGGACCAAGCAGCTCCATTCTTTGTTCTCTATTCAATGTTGGGATGAGATGCTTTATCTGTGATCAGGGGGGAGTTAATTACATGGACGATGTGCCTGCAATGTAAATAACATCTGCTGGCTCAATAACTGAATATCGTCAGTAATAAATGGACCAGTATGTTTATATAGTCATAGATCACTACGACTATATAATGACTTATGACCATAGTGATTACAGATAATGGTATGGACATAATATAGGGCATATACTCTTGTTACCTGAAACACAAGATTCTATAATGTTTGCACGGAATGCATATGGATGAATCAAAGATACCCACTAGGATCTTCTTTCTTTAAATGGAGTAGACAGCTATTGTAATTCTAATTAGGAAGCCATTATTTGCTGGGGTAAACAATACTTCAGCATATAAGCCTCTTCCAAGAGGGTTGTCGACTTTATGTAATTTCTGTTAAGGTGGTCAGGTACCACTCAGCACAGCACGCAATGGCTAGATGAGATGAGATTTTAAAAGGCCAAGATCAAATGGCTGGTTTTTGTTACTGGTTTCCAGACAGCTGAGACAGAGTTCTGATATAACTGTGATGTGCATCCTAGAAAGCTTTACAACTGACATTTGTCATTGAGAAGCCACTAAATAAACCATTTACTCCTTATACAGCAGTGTAGTACAGATGCTGAAAGATCAGCTATCATCTTTTGACTGACATCACTAATTGCAATGATCTCTATCATTTGGGACTGCAGACTACTTACTATAGTCTTTTCCATACAATCGTCTTTGAGAAAAGAAAATTACCACCACAGTGACTAAAGTAAGTTTATTATTTTCTTCTAGTTTATTTTATTTCAAGCTTCTGGCCAACAAAACCATGCTTCTTCTAGCACTTATAAAGCAGGAATCCTTTTATTTTAAGGAAGTGATTAAATTGGTAAAATTACCTGGTAGGATATGGGCAATGGAGCAGGGATGGGTTCCAAATCCCGTTGCAACCAGTTAGCTCGTGTGTGCGTGCACGCATGCACACATGCACGGTGCTTCTGCCAGTGGCTGCTGGTTTGCACTGGTACCAGTTTGCTTCTGCCAGTTGCTACTGGTAGCCGGTTGCTACTAGTTCGCCCCATATTGGGCGAACTTGTAGCGGTGGCGGGAGGCTCCATCCACCTGCCCGGACGCTTCTGCACAGAAACATCCAGGCAGGTGGGCGGAGCCTCCCGCCACCGCTACTGGTTCACCAGATTCGGTGCGAACCGGTAGTAACCCACCACTGCAATGGAGCATGGCTTTAATCACAAATTTATCACCTGCAATATGTAGAACCCTGTTTCCTCCCTAAAATTGTTATCAATTATAATAGTTAATAGGAAATGAGAACTTATCAAATAGATGGAAAGTTGTATTTAATTAATTGAAAAAAATTATATTCCTGCTTTGCTGATGATAAATTAATGCTGTTAATCAATAAATCAATTAATTAAAACAAAAATAGTTTGGTCTTGCCTTACTGCTTTTTAAAAGTATAGCAGTGGGCACAAACTGATCAGACAAGGACAACTGTATCCTGAAAATGATTGAGCTCACAATGGTTTCACATAAACTATGACAGGTGCAAAAGAAACCAACAGGCTTTATGACTGAGCTGCCATGTATAGGTAGTCCTTGTGACCAAGATGCATGTCCCTGACTGGATCTGAGAAACTCAACACTTTTCTTCAGAGGGCATTTTGTCAGTGGCGTTAAAAAAAGCGGTGCCCCCTTTTGAAAATACTCTTTCTGGATCCAGTATTTTTTCCCAGTCTTCAATCTTTTCTCAGGATGGACTGGAGATACCATGAAGATCTTTCCTTCTTCATACTGATGATTGGTAGTAAGAATGTGGATGGGGCAGAACAAGGTTAAACTCTAGTAAGAGCTTTCAGGCCTTTATCCTGATCCTTAATGTATCACAGTATTCCTGTACCTCCAGTGCTGTTTCTTGACAGGGAAGTGCTACCTCTGAAAAAGTGCTCTGTGACTTGGAGGTCCTCCTGAACTCATAACTTCTATCAGGATGAGACTGTGGCCCAAAGGACCCTTGCCCAGCTTTGACCGGTGTGCCGTTACAGTCTTAGCTAAGGTGTAAGAATTAGGCTAAGGACATATGTTTTTGCCAGCATAAGACTATTACAATGCTCAGTGGTGTATTAACCATTAAGCAGACTAAGACTAAGCTTAGGGGACCAGGCCCAAAGGGGGCACCACAAAGTTGAGAAAGAAAAAAAAGAACCAATGAAGATTTGTACAGTATGTACAAAGGAGGGGGGCACTAAGATTTGTCACTGCTTAGGGCACCAGTGAGCCTTAATCTGCCTCTGACAATGCTCCATACATGGGTCTATAATACAGTACTGCATTGGAAAATACTATTATTCCAGAGTAGATCCGTTTTGAGTTCTGATCAGCAACACATCACATTTGTATTCTGTGCCCTACCCTGGTTTCCGTTTGCTTTCCAGGTACAATTTAAAGTGCTGGTTTTAACCTACAAAATCTTCCATGGCTTGGTACATAGTTTTCCAGGACTACATTCTCCAAATTCTTTTCTGTTGAATTTCTTGGTCAGTAAGATCATTCAAGAGACATTTCTACCATTATTTCAGATATAGAAGAGCACAGAGATGACCTTGCAGAAAATATGTTTCGACCAGGGGTGGATTGTAAATTTTTTTACTACCGGTTCTGTGGGCGTGGCTTATTTTGTGGGTGTGGCTTGATGGTCATGTGACAATTATTTAGGATTTAGCAGAGGTACTGGTCTACCAGGCTTTTAACTGCTTCCAGAGCTGTACTGATCTACCCATTTATTTTTTGCAGGCACTGATCTACTCATGTATTTTTGCAAGCACTGATCTACTCATGTATTTTTACAGGCACTGGTCTATCCATTTATTTTTTCAGGCACTGATCTACTCATGTATTTTTGCAGGCACTGGTCTACTCATTTGTTTTCTTTTAACACTGATCAGCTGTAGGGCGGCCCTTTGAAGCCCCACGGCAAGAGTTTAAACAGTTTTTTTCCCTCTAGCCATCAGCTGGGACTCAGGAGGCAGCAATAGATTGGGGGTGGGGCCAAATAAAAGGTAAGAATAACACGGGGGGGACGTGGGGGGAGGGGGGGAGGTCGCCGGGGTGGGGGGGGCGAACCGGTTCGGTGACGTCATATCGTCACCGCTACCAGCCCAGGAGAACCAGGCCGAACCGGGAGGAACCCACCACTGGTTTCGACCATTAATAAAATCCGAGTTTAGCTCAGAAAAAAGAGAACATGAGAAAGAAACTAAAGATTGTCCCATCTTGATTCTGCTTGGTACTAAGAGATAGGGAAGGGGGAACGCCTATATCAATAAAATAGAATTCTAGTATTTCTTTTGCTGCCTGTTTCCTGACCTAACCTATCTTGAACGGCTGACACCACTTCTAAGAAGTTTCAAAATCTAATACCAGGTTTACTTCAGCTGGAACTAGCTATCATTGACACCAGGCTTATCCCCCTCCCTGACAACATTCAGGAAAATAATCAAAGATGTATAAGCTGTTGTTATTTCTCCATAATATATGGACCCATCAGGGGATTTCGTTGTTGCTGTTGTTTCATATTTTAAATGTCTTAAATATTGATATTCATATTAAATATGAATATTTTAATATTGTATTTTTTACATCCTTTCACCATAGATACTTTTTGATTCTGCTGTAAATAGAGTCAGTTTTGCTATAGAAGCAGTCCTCACTCAATGATTTTAATTTTAATCGGGTTTTAAATATGGGTTTTTAATATGGTTTTATAAGGGTTTTAGAATGGGAATTTTAAATTCGGCCAAAATTGAATTATTTATTTTAATATGGTTTTTAAATTTGCCTTGTATATTGTTTTATTATGGCTGTTCACCGCCCTGAGTCCTTCGGGAGAAGGGCGGTATAAAAATATAATAAAATCTAAATCTAAATCTAAATGACCATTAAGTTGCAACAGTCACTGGATCCCCAAAGTTGCAGCCATTGCAGAACCCATGCAGTCACATGATCAAAATTTGGGCACTTGGCAGCCTGTCCTCACTTACAACCTCAGGAACTCCTACCTACTTATCTCCTCCCAGCCTGTCCTTTCGACCACCCTCACTCCACTGCGTCTGCTAACCCTACCATCCTGTGCTCCGCTTGCCTGCGGCCCTAATGTTGGTAGCTGACCTTCACTGTCTTCTTCCTCCTGCTGCTAATGAGGCACATTTCGCCTAGCCCTTCGTGAGGCAGTTACTGGCTGTGCTAGGCTGCATGTGGCCTTGTTCAAATCTCACACGACTTTCTTATGAGGTTTTGAAGCCTTCCAAAACCTTGTGAGAAAGTTGTATGTGATTTGGACAAGGTCACGTGTCATTTGAATGAGTGAGTGAACAGCAGAGCCAGCAGAGCATAGGTTGGTAGGGCCAGCAGGGGTCTATGGCCGCCTGGAAAACTAAAAAAGTGCAGGTCTGCTGGATAATCAGATAGGAGCAGCCATAGAAAAGGCATGCTTCTGAGGTCCAGCTAGATGACAAAATTTCAGAGAAGGAACCTGGAAGTGCTTACCTATCTGATCTGGTAAGATGGTCAGACAATAAAGATCATTGCAATAGTTGTGAGTTACATTTCTTTAAATATTTCCTTTTCGGTGTTTCTATAATGTTGTTGTTTGGGACAAAATGTGATAAAATTTGCAGCGCTAATAGCCTTGTGAGCAGTGGCCATAGAAATGATCTTCCACAATAAAAGAAATAACTAAAAGAAGAATTGGATGCACAGATGTTATTCATAGAATTTATTAATTGTAAACATGACTGCAGAAAGGGCTTATTTCATGCTGGATATATATTTATTTGGGTTTACGTGGCACATGGAGCCAAAGCCAAGACAAATGCACACAACACATTATGGCTTAGCACAATGTACAGGTAGCCTTCGACTTAATGACCACAACTGTGTCCAAAATTGCTGTTGCTAAGTAAGACAATTGTTAAGTAAGTTTTGCCCCATTTTATGACCTTTCTTGCCACAGTTGTTAAGTGAGTCACTGCAGTTCTTAAGTTAGTAACATGGTTGTTAAGCGAATCTGGCTTCCCGATTGACTTTGTCAGAAGGTTGCAAAACGTGATCACATAGCGCCGGGACACTGCAACCGTCATAAATATGAACCAGGTGCCAAGTGTCCGAATTTTGATCACATGATCATGGGGATGCTGCAATGGTTGTAAGTGTGAAAAATGGTCATAAGTCACTTTTTCAGTGCCAAACTAACTTAAAATGGTCACTAAACAGATAGTTGTAAGACAAGCACTACCTGTATCAGCTCAGTCATTTTTTTTAATCCCACCCTTATTATTTTCATAAGTAACTCAAGGTGGCAAACATATCTAATATTCTTTCCTCCTCCTATTTTTACACAACAACCCTGTGAGGTGGGTTGGGCTGAGAGAGAGTGACTGGTCCAAAATCCTCCAAGCTGGCTTTCATGCCAGCACTAGAACTCAGACTCTCCTGGTTTCTACCCTGATGTTTTAACCACTAGACCAAACTGGCTATAGATCCAGTTATAACGTCGTATGTGTTTCTCAAAATGTCATCTGTGAGATGCTGGGTATGCAAACAGCAGTTCAGTTACTTTTCTTGAAAAGATGTTGTATAGCAACTGAACAATTATTTCATGAATTGTATCTTTAACTTCTCTACTATTGGAATCTTGGCCTGGATTTTTCAAAGGCCAACTCTTGATTGCCCTAGCGATTACTGAACAATTGTTTTGTGAGTTTGTATTTAAACTTTGGACTTGTGCCTGGTTTTGAAATGCAATACACTTGTGCACTGAATGCAGGTTCCTCCTTTCTTGATTTCCCTTTACTTCCACCCCACCCCCCCTTTCTCCCCTGCCTCCAGCTCCGGTGTCACTATTCCTCAGCAGGCTGAGACTACAAAGCTTTGAGCCAACAACTTCTCTATTACTTCTCAGGTAACTCAGTTCTACTGATCAGATGCAGTCTTAAGAAAGCCTAATAATGTGGTGTGCATTCCAGATTCCACTTCAATAATTCACACTAGGATTGTACTTCAGTATCTTTCACTCAGATAGCTCTTATCTTGCTTTACTTTCTTCTTGCTTCTGTTTTAAATGATTTGCTGCACACCAAACATAGTGAAGGATTTTAAGAAGGATTTGGTTTCTCCTTCATTTTAGACATCAGTTGGATATGCTTCCTAACTATAACTGCCTAACTTTAGCTAGGTATGCCAATAAATACACTGCTATCTTCCCAAGGAGACCCAGTTTGGTGTATGGTTAAGGTACCAGGCTAGAAACCAGGAGACTCTGAATTGTAGTCCCATCCTAGGCACAAAGCCAGCTGTGTGGCTTTAGGCCACTCACTTTCTCTCAGCCTTAGGGTGGTGGCAATGCAGGGGTGAAATGCTCCCGGTTCGGACCGGATCACCCAATCCGGTAGCGATGGCGGCGGATGGTTCGGAGAACTGGTAGCAAAAATCCCTGTGCCCCCCCATGCCCAGCTGAGCCGCACGATCATCAGAGGCTTTTTAAAAAAACTTTTAAAAGCATTTTTCTACAACTTCTTCCACCGAAAAAATGCTTTTAAAAGTAAAAAAAAAAAAAAGCCTCTGATGATCGCGCGGCTCAGCTGGAATCGTCAGAGGCTTTTCAAAGCATTTTTTTCTGCAATCTCTTCCGGGGAAGAGGTGGTTTAAAAAATGCTTTGAAAAGCCTCTGCCAATCAGGCAACACAGCTGGGATCGTCAGAGCCTTTTCAAAGCATTTTTTAACCACCTCTTCCGCTGAGGAGGTTGCAGAAAAAAATGCTTTAAAAGTCTCTCTGATGATCCCAGCTGAGTTGCCTGATCATCAGATAGGCTTTTTAAAAAAATCTGACGATCAGACAACTCAGCTGGGATTGTCAGAGAGGCTTTTTAAAAAATGCTTTGAAAAGTCTCTCTGACCATCAGGCAACTCAGCTGGGATCATCAGAGAGACTTTTAAAGCAATTTTTTCTGCAACCTCTTCAGCGGAAGAGGTGGTTAAAAAAATGCTTTGAAAAGGCTCTGACGATCCCAGCTGTGTTGCCTGATGGGCAGAGGCTTTTCAAAGCATTTTTTTGCATTTGCAGAAAAAATTGCTTTGAAAAGTAAAAAGTAAAAAAAAAAAAAAGTTGGCCACGCCCACCCAGTCACATTACCCCACCACCACCAAGCCACACCCACAGAACCGGTAGTAACAAATTTTACATTTCACCCCTGTGGCAGTGGCAAAAGATCTCTGAAAAATCTTGCCGATAAAGCTGCAAGATTTGTCCAGGCAGTTGCCAGGAGTCAACACTGACTCCCAAGTATTCCTCCCCTCAAATAAATAAATAAAATAAATCTTATAGTAGGTTGTCTGTTTCTCCAACACCAATAAAGCAAATGTAAGAGACTTCTGGAGGAGAGAATGTAATTCAGCACAATGCATGATAAAATTGAAGCCAACATTCCAGTTAGAATAGGTGGTCCTGCCCCAGTAGCTTGGTGCCAAACATAAAGGGCTTTATAGGGTAAAAGCAGGACTTCAAATACCCCAAAGCCAACTGACAGTCAGTGCAAAGCCTATCAAACTGGTGTTATGAACACTCAGGCTCCTGTATCTTGAACCAGTTGTAGTTTCCAAATGAACTTTATAGGCAATACCACAGAGAGAATACAATAGTCTAATCTGTGGCTGTAATCACTGTTGGCTGGATTCCCACATTATAGTAAGCAGTAAAGAGTAATAGTGTTGGAAGGAACCTTGGAAGTCTTCTGGTCCAACTCTCCTGCTCAAGTAGGAGACCCTAAACCATTCTGGTCAAATGGCTGACCAATCTCTTCTTAAAAATCTCCAGCATCCGTAACCTCTGGAGACAATTGATTGTTCTCACTGTTGGGAAATTTCTCCTTAGTTCTAGGCTGGATCTCTCTGATAATTTTCCATTCTTGTTTTGCTTTCAGGTGCTTTGGAGAATAAGATGACCTCCTCCTCTCTGTGGCAGCCCCTCACATATTGGAAGTCTGCTATCAAGTCACCTCTAGTCCTTCTTTTTGTTAGATTAGACATAATTTCTGCAATTGTTCATATATTTTATCCTCCATTCCCCTATCTTTGTTGCTCTTCTCTGCACTCTTTCTAGAGTCTCAACATCCTTTTGTATCAGGGTAGTCAAAACTGGATGCAGTATTCCAAGTGTTGTCTCACCTGTGCAGTATAAAGCGGTACTAGCTCTTCATGTGATCTTGATACTATCCTGTTGATGCAGTCTAGGACGGCATTTGCTTTTTTTGGCAGCTATAACACACTACTGGCTCATACTTAAGTGGTAATCCACTAGGACTCTCCATCCCTCTCACACTTACTGAGGTTGAGCCATGCTTGGCTGTAAAGTATGGAATACAAATATAATATTAACTATGCACATATGGTGTTAATCCAACATCAGTCTATCAATATTATAGTTTAGTTTAACATGCAAGCCAGGTTATTGCCTAATAACCAACAGAACTTCAAGATGTCTGGTAGGCATTTTCCAGACTTACCTAGATATGCAAACTCCTAAATCATACATAAACCAGCAGTGATCTGTTTTGCAAATTTTATGTTTCTTGTTGCTCTGGAAAACATTGTGGAAATTTCAGCTGGGGCGGAAGGCTGCCGTTTGATCAGAATAGAATTGACCTACTTTAGGAAGCTTCTGGCTCATAAAAAGAGGGAGAAGTAAATCCTTTAATTTATATAAAGTAGAGAGTCCTCCTTAGGAATGCTTTGTTTCCTATGGTCATCAATTCCATCTTGTTCAAGTTTAGCTGCAGTATATTAGTGCGCTCAAACAATCATTGAGGCTAACAATCAACATTCCCAGTGTGATCATTATTTATTTATTTATTTATTACATGTATTTATATGCTGCCATTCTCCCGAAGGACTCAGGGTGGCGAACACAAGTTAAGAAACAAGTACAATAAAATTATAATTTAATCCAAATAATTAGTAGTAAATAATAAAGCCTGGAATCAGTCTCAGCCTATTTGTTTGAAAAGCCAAGTCTTCAAGTCCTGACGGAAGGAGCGGAGCTCAGGAGCCGTCCGGAGCTTAGTAGGTAATTCATTCCAGAGGGTGGGAGCACCCACAGAGAACGCCCTACCCCTGGGCACAGCAAGGTGACATTGGCTCGCCGTCGGAACCCCGAAGAGAGCGTCCCTATGTGAGCGAACAGGACGGTGAGAGGCAGGCAGGAGAAAGTCATGCAAATATTAAAAATATTAAAGAAAATTATCCTGGGTAATCAAAATATATCGATGGTGCGTTATTCAAAAATTCTTAATGGCTGTATCCAAAGCAGCCTCAGATAAAACTGTCCTAAAGAAGGATTTTTAAAAAAACTGTGATCCATAATGTCACAATTTTATCTAACTTAAATCAATCCTGTGTATATTAACTCCATAAATAAATTCTACTAGCACAGTGCACAGGATTCAGTCTTAAAGAACCAAGAGGGGATTTTTCCTGTGTTTTAAAATGAAAACCCAGTAAATTTTGAATATGCATAAATCAAGTTAAAATATGTAAGTTGGCAATCAGCCGTAAGAAAACTTTGATTATTCATTTCCAGTCATATATCTTACTGTGATTGGACTTTGTCAGATGTAAATGCCTTATTCTCCAATGTGTAAATAATGTATATATGGAACATCAGAGGTTAACTTATTCTTTGGACTTTAATGTATTCATAACTTACCACTCCCATTCCTAGCTCCACCCCTTGTATATATAAGGAGCCACCCTCACCATTCTCGTCGCTTCTACCTTGAATATTCAGTGAATATAGAATGCCTATCATAATTAAAAAGAAATATATTTAAAGCTCTAACTCCTATTATCTTTATTGAGTCTGATCCTGAAAATATTGCAACAGACTTAATTGCAATTTAATGCATACTATGTATCACTTTTGCATGAATATCTCGTGCTGGTCACTCATGCGGTAGAAGATTATACTATAAAATCCACTCTTGAATGACATGTTATTTGTGCTCCTCTCCCTCTCCCTCTCCTTCCCTCTCCTCTCTGATTAACTTTGGAATTACTCTGGTCAGCAGTGGACTGAGTCCAACAAAAGAGTAACGCAACATCAAAGGAAAACATCATGCAGATTTAATGGTGCACTAAGAAGAGTTAGCATAATAGATGAGAGCCAAGATCTCCCCGTTCCCTCATTACCTTAATGAATAACTTTACTTATAGTATATAGAAATACATGGAAGTTAGATTGTGCTACCATGTGCATACCGATGCAAAAATACAGATGGAAAATCCTAACACAAAAGTTGCAGAAAAATCAATATACATTAGCAGAATCCAAAATAGAGGCAAATAGAAGGTGACAAATTATATAATCGATAATTTCCACAGTCAAAAGGACTGTGTGCCAAATTAATTTTCCACACGGCTCAAAAGAACTAACACAAGGTATGGCACCTCCAGGATATACAGAATACAGAATAACAATGTTGGAAGGGACCTTGGAGGTCTTCTAGTCCAACCCCGTAATCTAAGCAGGAGACCCTAAACTATTCCAGACAAAGGGCTGTCTCTTCTTAAAAATCTCCAATGTTGGAGCACCCACAACTTCTGAAGGCAAGCATTTTGACTGATTAATTGTTCTCACTGTCAGGAAATTTCTCCTTAGTTTAAGGTTGGATCTCTCTTTGATGATTTTCCACTCACTACTTCTTGTCTTGCCCTCAGATGCTTTGGAGAATAGGTTATGCCCCTCTTCTTTGTGTCAGACTTACAAGTATTGGAAGATTGCTATCATGTCATCGCTAGTTCTCTTTGTTAGACTAAACATACCCAGTTCCTGCAACTGTTCATCATATGTTTCAGCCTCTTGATCCCTAATCATCTTTGATGCTCTTGTCTGTACTCTTTCTAGCATCTCAACATCTTTTTTGTATCATGGTGACCAGAATGCAGTATTTCAGGTGCAGTATTTCAAGTGTGATCTTACCGATGCAGTACCAATACTTCACGTGAAGTTGATACTATTCCTTTGTTGATGCAGCCTAGGACTGCATTTGCTTTTTTGGTAGCTGTAGCATACCTCTGGCTCATACTTAAGTCGTTGTCCATTAGGACTCTTAGATTATTCTCACAGTTGCTACTGTTGAGCTGGCTATCGCCTATTCTATACCTACGCGTTTGTTTTTTTCCCCTAAGAGTAAAGTTTACTTTCCTCATCACTGAATTGCATTTTGTTCGATAGGGTCCTATAACCAATGAATTTCGCAACTCCCTCCATGCTGAATATAGTTTTATAGAACTTTTACATTTGACCTATTAGGAAAATTCTTCCACCCTCAAGACCCTTATTTCAATGATTATAGCCCATATAATGATAGAAAAAGGGGATTATTTATGATTAGGAGCTGATCAGAGATGTAAATGTGTTCCTATTCTAAGGTTCTATACAACTGAAACTGCAAAAGTGTTTTGGACTTATGGGATGGATGATACACATCTCCCAATAGTGCATCCTTTCTCAAAGATTTCCTCTTTCCATGTTGCAATTGAGCTATAATCTATCCCCTGTGGTCATTAAGGGGTTTGTTTGAAGACTTAATTACTCTGTGTGTATATTTAAGAGAGTGACAGATTGTGTGCTGGCATGTGACCTATCCATAGATCTGTTTGTTAGCTTTTTTTTTTTTTTTGCTTTAATTTATATGCCGCCCTTCTCCGGAGACTCAGGGCAGTTTACAAGCAATAGCCTTCATACTTTTGTATATTTATACAAAGTCAGCTTATTGCCCCCACAATCTGGGTCCTCATTTTACCCACCTTTGAAAGGATGAAAGGCTGAGTCAACTTTGAGCCTGGTGAGATTTGAACTTGCAGTAATTGCAAGCAGCAGATGTTAATAGATGTTAATAACAGTGCTTTAGTCCACTGTACTACCAAGGCTCAGCTTTAAGGTGCTCAAACAAGTAGGTCCCCACAAAAGAGGCAAGGGTGAAAAAAGATTAAATTAGAAACTTGGAAGCAGATGTTTTGCTTTATCCACAAGAATTATTAGGACACATCCAGAAGAATATTTTATAACAGGTGGTATCGAATCGAGTTATTGGCATTTATAGGGAAATATTTTTTTGCAGGGCACTTGTTTGATGTAAACACAATCTCCTTCTATGTTTTCCTTCTTTTTCTGAGAGAGGTTTAAAAACTTGAAGGATTTCCCCCCCCCCAACATTACAGGATAATTTCCCCAAAGACTACTCATTACACTTTAAATAGTTAATATAGCAATAGCACTTAGACTTATATACCGCTTCATAATGCTTTACAGCCTTCTCTAAGCGGTTTTACAGAGTCAGCATATTGCTCCCAACAATCTGGGTCCTTATATATATATAAGGGAGAAAAAAAAAGCCCAGAAACTAGTGAATTGTGATTTCACTGAACTAGGGCTGCATAATATCTTGGTTTACGTAGGTAGAACCTGGCTAAAGAGAAATACACATAAAACCTACGAAAAAGAAAGAAAAACAAATATTGTACCTTTACAGGGAGGATACATGAGATGAGGGTGTGGCTAACTGATGAGGCCTTATAAGGCCGAAATAGATCTATCTTAGTCTCCCAATGGGCAGCAAAGGGTCTGCTGGCTGCCAGAAGAAAAAAAAAAAGCCCAGAAACTAGCCAACTCTGGCCTAAATCAGTGGTTCTCATCTGTGGTCCGTGGATCCTGGGGGTCTACGAAGACTTGAAGAAATGTTATGATTTAAATCTTGAGTTAAGTCTTGGGGGTCTGTGGCCCTGGTCTGTGGCCACAAAAGGAAAGGGGCCGTGGTGAAAAAGTTTGAAAGCCACTGACTTAAATAAATAGTACATATTGTTTTAGCTAGTTCATTCTCAGTGGTAAGTCCATCTACTTTAAGAACCAACTCTACTGTTTTATACCTTCGGATTTTCCTCCCCTCCCTGCAAATACTGCCAGTTAAAAATGTACAGCTGTAGTACAACCACAACTGGGATTGTAGCACAAAACCAAGGAGTGTAAGTATTTTCTTCTGACTCTAATTCTGGGAAAATCCTTCCTCCAGAATTTCATACTGGGAAAAGTGAAATAATCTACTTGGCGACAGAATGTCATTAGGAGTTTACAAACCTGGAACGTGTTCCATAACAGAACATTCAACATTTTGTGCTGCTAAATTGTCACTTTCATGTT